CTTCTGCGGGATTCGAACCCAAGCCCATCGGTATGACATTCAGTGTCACTAACCACTATACCATTTGGAAAGCTGAACTTTTCGAACAATGGCTATCAGCAATAGAAAAATTAGTATCCTCAACACTCCGAGATAAAAAATAAAGTACCAAAGGACTCTAAGCCCGGGCACAGCGCATTTGAACCCTTTGAACTCTCATATAAGAGAAGCATTAAAGTTGCGTCATCGGAATGAGACATTTAAAGAAGTTAAATACCCGACTTAATCTTTACGGATAAGTTAAGATTTTCCGGGTATAGCATGTATGAAGTGATCTAGTCTGCTATACATTATTCTGATCGAAATTTTTTAGGAAAAGCTGTTCTCTGGATTCCTCCAGCTATTCTTCAAGAACTGCAAACTCTGTCTTCATACAGGGATGTCAGTTATTGCTCTGTTACCGCAGGACACTTGACAGAAGGATGTCTGTTACATGTGCAGGATGCAACGTGAGTGCGAAGCTTGTGTCAAAATTAGGGGTTGTCACATCTCAAATGAAGGATTGTTTGTTTGTTTGTATGTTGTATATATATATATATACACACATACATGTTATGACTTTATAAAATGTCGTTGTTGATGGTACAGATGTTGATTTGATTTACTTGATTACCAAAGTACACGAAAGCTTGCTGCCTAAGGGAAAGGAGGCATTTGTGGAAGACTATCTAAGGCAAACTGGGTTGTATCTACATTACACAAGGAGAAAACACGAAAACGACAATTCAGCCAGCTCCCGTTTGTCGGCATTCGTATTTTGGTCGAACTACCAGGGTTCAGTGACTTTATCGCTCGGCCATTGATGGGACATAACAGATGCTGAAGTATACTATGGAAATATTTCAAAGGCATAATGATGCAATAAGAAGTAAAACTTAAAAAAAAAATAAAAAAAAAAAAAAAAAAAGAAAAGAAAAGGGCAGTTGCGGCAGATTTAAATATTAACTTTCATTTTTATTGATATTTGAGGCCATAAATAACTTGACACACTAATCGTGACTGTTCCAGAACATTTACATTTTTTATTCTGTTGTGTTAAGAAGAGAGCAGCAAGCAAAATAAATGTACGATTATTTATGCCGCCCAACCGGAATAGTGGTTGGAATCGCTAAATGCCGTGCCGAAGGACCCGGTTTCGAATCCCGAAGAAGGCATGGATGTTTGCAAATGTGTAGTGTCGGTGCGGCATGGAGGCACTCTAAATATTCGGCGAGCCGAAAGTCCTCTCGTGGGGTTTGGTGGAAGGAGAGAGGGGTGGGAAACCCTCGGACCCGTCCTCCCCGGGGTGCTGTCCATCAAAATTGAGGGCGGAACTGAGCCAAATCGCACTGTCACCTGTTAAGTGCTCAAGGCTGTTGCCAACGACAGGAGTAATCTTGCACTCCTTCCCACGATGAATTTTATGGGCTTTGGCTGACTAACGTCAGAAAACTGAGCATCATCATCATCATCAACAACAACAACGATTATTTATAATAAAGCAATAAGTACACAGTTCTTTTATTGCTGAAAACTACTCTGTAGCTTCAGTGGCAGAGTTATAAGTAACCTGCTCTTCATACCACATAAAGGTTATGAATAAGTGTGTTTAATGCTTTTAGTAAGCAATGAGATCATTCCAAAGAATGAACTGTTTTAACCCATAATGCCTATGTCGGCATCGGTCACTCCTAAGGCCAGATGTGGTGGCCTCTTTATTATGGAGGCACCTAATAGGTGGGCCACCCTCGCCTCCTATGAAGGGACAGACAATTTTTACATCCATGCCTTCTTCGGGATTCGAACCCGGGTCCTTCGGTATCGCAGTCAGGTTCCCCTAACCACTATACTGTCTGGGAGGAGCTTTCGATTTTATTATTGACAAACATAAAAATAGTTGAGGCAAATTCCAGGGTCCTTTTATCATTCTCAAAAATCGTTTTATAATAAAACTATATATTTTAATTAGACCTATTATCAGTTTCTAATCAATAATAACAGAGGAATTTCATATCTTGTTGTAAAATGTCACCTTAGGTAGTGTCCATAAAAGCTAATTAGAATAAACTAAAATAGTATTTACAGTTTTAAATACAATAAAAATAAATTTTTTTCGGAAATGTTAATTTATTGAGACTTATGAAATTACATATAGTCATTTTGCTCTTTTTTGATTAAACTGATAAACAAGAATGAATTGTAAAGGAATAATGTTTCAGCCATTTTCTTTTAGAATTCTTGATTTACTTATGCAACTGCTGCTTGGCTATTAAACTGGTAAAAGTAATAATAAAATATCATCGTTACTTTTCTGCTTGTGAAGTGGAATCTTTCATATGAAAAATTAGATGACATAAAATGATATACGAGCTATAGAGTATTCCACAAATTTGAATACTGGATCTGTGCCCTTCATCCCAAACTTATAGTTACTTTATATTTGCTTATTAATATGCGTCAAATTATAAAGTTTCCTGAAGTATGGTACAGAATTTTATAAAAATTATTTTCAGGTGCAAGTAGGAAAACTCTGTAAATATGAAACATAACTGGAAATTCAAAGTTATGCTAAATAAGTACTTTCAAGAAGCTGGTTACAAATTTAGTGTTCGAATGTTTTTTTACTCAAAAAAATTGTTTGCTTTGTAAGTATTTCTAAATGCTTTGGATTTAAGACGGGGGATTGGAAGAAATGTTATGAAAGTTAGCGAATTTGTCCTGGAAAATGTTTGCAAATTTTTCACATAATGGAGTTGTATTTTTAACTGATTTAAGCATAATAAATACTTCACTAAGTGGAATCTTATGCTGTACAGAGGCTATCTAAAAATTCTAGATTTTATATTTACGAAACTCTACCATCCATAATAGATATATCATTTTTATTAAATTCTTTATCTTGTTTTGTACTCAGAAAGACATGTCTTTGATCAATGGTTAATGAAGAAAGGCTAATTGTAGCTATCTTTTCGAACATCTTGTGTTACAGCTCATCAAGTAGTAAATTTCACTCTTTCTTCATCGAGAAAATCAAAATCAAGTTTATCATATATGCCTCATATTCTTTCCGTATGGGAGCTATTCTTTTCTAATGTAAAAGTCAAAGATGTTTCTTGCATTTTGTTACAAGTTTACCATGAAAATATGGTTTTATACTCTCATGACCAAACGCATATAATACTACCGACACTTCCAGAGATCTGTGACCTAACGGATCTCTAGAAGTACCGGAAGCCAATTTGTGGGATCGTGCAAGTCACAGTCGCAAACAGATACCACGTTTTAAGGCCCCTCAATTTATCAAAAATATTTTAAAAAATGATATACATACCATGACTCTTCAGATGAGGGGCTTTCAAAAGTTTAGGTAGACTGACCCTTCACTTGATATATTCGCCAGTGATGTGTATCTTTTATATTGGTGTTTCCAGATACAATTTTTAATTGCTTTAGTGTTTTTTGTTATTTTCCTTAAATGTAAATGAGATTTAAGCAAGTTTTCTCGAAAAAACATTTCAGCCAAAGGCGTCACTTCTCGTAGCAGATACCTGTCGCATATTTGTTACACACCTATGAATTAATCTGACGTCCAGACAAAAATGTAAGTTGAAGGTTATTATCTTAATATTAACAGAGAATCAGTGAATTTCAGAATGAAATTTCAGACAATTTTCTTCTGGTAAGACGACCCAAGTTCGAACCCAGGCCAAAGCGTTAGCTATAGGGTTGGCTTTCGTGGTTTTCCCATGTGTAACGAGAATACCAGCTGGTTTTCCTTACAAATTCCTCTACAAAGGCATTGCGACCAGACAGCTCTCATGAGCTTTGCCATATCCAAATAATTTAATCATTTTCTGGTAAGAACAGGAAATCCAATTTATTTGCTTTGGAAACATTTTTATATTTTAAAGATTCTTTTGTTTTTTATATTATGTGGTATGAGAAGATACCTATGTCAAATGATGCGCATCTTTATTTACCCAGAATAGCCATAAACATAAACATTCACGATGGTACAACGGTTGTGGAATTTAATCATTCACTGCAGTGTGACAGTAAGGAGCGCTAATCGTTAGTTGTAATTAAATAAATATACGGTCTCCTGAGGTTCTCTTCCTAATATTGTATTTAATTCAATAAAATAATGGAATACGGGACAGTCATTGTGCTCACCTGTTAGTGTACTTTTTATATTATAGGTCACGTCTGTTTGATTCTTGCATGTATTTTACTCTGAAAATTATTTTTTGCATCACGAAAGAATACTGCTATAGAATATTTGATTTCCCGGTTTAGGTGTGGTAAAATATGGTAGAGATGTTTATTTAAGCGAAGAAGCACATTTGAATGGATTTCTAAGGAAAATGGGTGCTTTGACCTTTCTTATACATGGCAGAAATCATGAAAACCACATGAAATCAGCTTAATTATGTCACTAAGTATCTAATTTGGTGTTTACTATCAGTATTTCACTGCTTAAAGTACTTAACTCTTAGTAGGCCTTATGTCAGGGAAAGTAAGTTAATTTGCTTTAAGCGAAATATTTTTACGACATTATAATTTACTATTCCAATTATTATTATGGCACTATAATTTACATTAAGCCTTTCTTAGAAATGATCATAAATCTGACTAAATTAAAATAACTTGAAAATGGCTTTTTCATATTTATTTATTTATTTTTTCCTTTTGTATGACATGCGTTTTGCATGTTACTTAGCACTAACTTATTCATTTTCTATGCCTTTTGTAACTGAAATATAAACAGGAATATAGGTTACGTAAATTGAAGCAGACAAAAGGAAGGCTTTTATTTCAGAATCAGAATGCGTTTGGTAAGCTTCTGCCAGTTCCTTGTTTACTGTGGGTAAGATATATTAAACCAATTCTATTTGGAACAAAGAATCAACAATGCTACATGTTAAATGGTTTATTGCATAAAATAGTCTTCATTGGTCTAATAATTGGTTGGTAATAATTACCTTGTTCACAATGCTTTGTCTCTCAAATCTCTGTAGTTTTCTCAGGAGTACGAGGCCAGCTACAACATCTGATGGTACAACATCCAGATCACGAAAAAAGTCTGACAATAGTTTTGCTATATCAGCAAAATTGTTCTGAAAAATAAATCAAAATTCACAAAGGATAAATCAAGTTTGATCATAAGCAGCCAGCTTTGTTGTTCACTGTGACTCATAATTGACAAGATTAAAAATAAAAAGGCTGTTATAGAAAGTCAGAGTAATGTTCTGCTTTGAGGATTATCAGAGACACAAATTTCTGCATTATTAGAAGATTTAATTTGCCATTTATTATTTTTTATAAACGGAAATGCTGCAGTTTTATTCCTGGCTGATTTGATGTATTAATTTACGTTTTTGAATAGATAGCGAATTGCAAATATTTTATAATTAATTTTCAAGTTATTTCGATATCAGTGTATGCTAACATATACCATTTCCCACTTAAGCGAGAATGCGTGTATATGTGAAGCAAATACTTCTATCTAAGTCGTCTGTTTATAACAGTTTCAACATTCATGTGAACAGTTGAATCGATTCAAAACTTGCATCAAAAAAAGAATTGTAATTGTCAAAGTAATCATTAATTACCCTTGACCGCGCAATTTCCTGTTTTCAGTTGAACTAATAACAGAAGCGCAATAAATTGCAAAATATAGCAGACACTTTGTTTTATTATATGTAGTTTCAACAGTAGTAATTACAGTACCTATATGAAAGTATTTTCCTACTCAATAATGCAGGAAATGAAAAAAAAAAAAGAATATTAGTTCATCATAGATATTCTTTTAAGACAGAGAAGTAGTGTAAATTAAGCATAAGGATACAAAATACTATTTTTTTAGTTACCCTTTGTCGATCTGAATGTCCCATGCAGCAAAACAGGAGACGACACCTTCTATTCCAGCTGTCTTGATACTCCCTCATGGCTTTCCTTAAATAAGTTAAAAAGACAAAATCCAATTTGTTAAACTAAAGTTTAGGCGATTATTTTTATGATATGATGAAAAAACGCTCTTTGCTATACAATAATTTATTAAATCGTTTTAAAATGTTTTAAACTTTCTTGCTCTTAAAATAAAATTGAATGTTAGTTTGAAAGCAGGCCATAGCATTTGTGCGGATCACAGTTAGTAGTTTTAAATTGAACGTATGCCTTTTGAGAGAGGGTGTAGTAGGCATGACCAATTCCAGATGCCTGAGATACTGATTATTTGATATCTGATAAAATGAGAATTTATTTGAGCATTAAAAATTGAAGCAGGTTTTCAGCTTCCAGTTCCGTTAGCTCATAAACTGACGAATGAACATGTGTATCTGATACAAGTCTTGATCAATCCCTTTTCAGATGTCATGTCTTTTAGCGCCTGATAGATCTGCAAATTCTAGAAACTGACAAATATTTTTCTCTTTTGCATTAGGAATGATTCCACTTAATCCATGCTTAATAAATATTTCTAGACATAAGAACATGAAACACAAAAGAGCTGAAGCAAAAATACATGGATTCTGTTATATGGGATTATTAGAATAATTCTCATGTGGTTTGTAGGAAATATATATATATATATATATATTTGCTACAATGTTTTGTGCTAAGATTTCGAAAGTAAAGAGAAGAGTGCTTATCTAAATATGTAACTGTAAGGCACAGTTTAAATCAAATAATTATTTTTTTAAGAATATTCATAGACTTCAATAACTGAGACGCAGTCTTTGCATTTAATATATAAATAGATTCAAGAACTATCTAGGTTTTGCAAGAACGGGAAAGAAATTCATGTTTGTGTTTAACTTTTTGAAACATTGTTACGAGACAAAGAGCACTAGAACCTTAACTTTATGTAAAGAAAGGCTTAAATTGAAAGAAATTTTTAGCCTTCTCATTTATTAGTCATGTGATTGATTAGTTTAGAATTATTCAGGTTTGGTAAAGCACTCAAGTGCTGTCTCTCCGTAGTCTTCTATGAATGGGGAGAGCTTTCAAAATATAGTTAAATTTCTCTAAGGCCTTGGCGGAGGACTTTTTAAGTAAAACTGGCTAGTAATCACATTATACCCAGGCATAACCACGAAAACTCCCATACAGCCAACTCGTTCATCAATATTTGAACCCAGGTCGAACTATCATTATCCAGCAGTTTTTCCGCTTGGCCGTTGGTAAGACATATTCATGTCTCTGGATTTTTTGTACAACTAATTTACCGTGAAATGTATTCAACAAGTCAGAATTTAAATTCAAAGAAATCTTGTGCCCTATAAATAGTTCTGAAGAATTTATAAAAGAGTACAGTGACAATCAAAGAATTTAATGCAAACAATACATAATATAAGTCCGACAAAAAAAAAAAAAACAAGCTAGGGTAGTTAATTCCATAAGCATTATAAAGTTCACTTTATTAATCAAATTTCAAGCTTAAATTAACTTTTCAGTAACTCGTCTACTTTCATGCAGTATCCTTTTCAGAAGCAGGCGAACTTATACACTCAAGTTACGAGAAAAAAAGCGCCGTGAAAAAAATTTGACGTGATGGTGTTTGAAGTCTAACGTCTATGGTATTATTTGGTTACCGAGTACTTGAAATTCCCGCACACCGAGGCTGGTATCGGAAGCGGTTGTTGTATTTGTAAAGACTAAAGTAATTATTATAGGCTGAAAAGAACTTCAGTGGATATTCTTTGTCCCAGGTAATTTCTGCTTAAAGTTTATTTATTACAAATTTAATTACGCTAAAGGTTAGAAACTTTGGGAAATATTTTTGACTTTTAACGTGCAAACTCTAATTGTATATATACTCAAAAACAAGACACAATGCATATAGAAGGTATAGTAAAATTGATGGTTTTAACTTTACGGAAAAATAGAGCACTCAAAAAAAAAAAAAAAAAATTACTTATGTAGGAATTTATGGATACGAGTCACAAGAAATGAAACTTGATGGGAAACATTAATTATTTACTCGCAGCAACGTTAAAATGTGTTTCTTTAGAACAGTGTTCGCAATAATTACTCAAAATATCTTCCATCAACGGTAATAGTATGTGCCTGACAGAATCCATGGAATGATTTGTTTGTAGTATTACCGGAACAGAACAGAACGCCACTAAGCCAGCTCTCTATCCAGGCAGCCTTTCAGCCATTCTTATGTAGGACTTGAATAATTCATCTAAACAATGACAGAACTTCACAAGAATGTTTGGTTGACATTGAAAAACATTGTCAAAGACTTTCTTAGAATACGCGAGCACAGATGTACAGCGAAATTGTCCAGCAACTTTTGGAGAGCTTCAAAATGCTTGGTTGCAACATGAGCATCAAACTGTATTTTTTACATAGACATCTTGATAACTTCCCGAAAAATTTTAGTGTAGTCAGTGATGAGCAAGGTGGGCGATTCCACCAAGATTTGAAAGTGATGGAGGCACCGTGTTAAGGTAAATTGGATGTACATGTGATGGCAGAGTATTGTTGGAACATCAAGCGAGAATGTACACAGATTAAACACTCCAGAAAGAAACCTGAACGAAAATTTTTACCTTAATATGCATGTTCACCGTTTGGTAAGAAAACATTTTACTATTTGTATGAACAAAATTTAACTTGCAGTAACTACATGTAGCCTTTTTATGAATAAAACTATTAGTTGTGAACAATATATTTGATAAGGTTTCCCTTTATTTTCCTTTATGTGCATATTTTGTTTGACTTGAGACAAAGAGAGTGTATCCTGAATCTTAAAATGTTGACTTGATAAACAAAAGCTGTTTTTGGATTCAGAGGCCAAAAGTTAGTCAAAAAGAAGTAACAGATCTAAGACAACGAAATTGCTGTTCCCCAGTGTTATAATCATTGTTATAAAATTCAGTTGTGAACGATTATGCGAGTGAATAATTTACGTTTCCTTTCATGTCTTATTTATTGTTTGCACTTCAACTGTACACCCTTGCGCTCATGCATTTCTATATAAAAAATGTTTGTTGTAGTATACTGTACCATCTCTTAAAGTTTTGAACATCATTTTTGTTACATCCTGCGTATTTAAGAAGGGAATTATAAGAAAAAAATGAAACTTTCTTTTGATTTGTAACGTTTAATTAGCTTGAGAGCTATAATGCAATTTTTTTTCATTCTAACGTGAATACCTCCAAGGTTCGCAATAAATTAAGTTTGTTTATTAGCAAATTTGAATAATCATTATCTTCTTTATCCAGAAATCGATAAATTAAATTTTATAAGTTTGTGCTGCAACTGAGTTGTTTAATCCGAAGCAATGAGTTACAACGAACGGCCAGTGAGGTTTTAATATATATATGATAACTTTTATATGACTTGCAATGATAACTTTGCATGTCCTAAAGCTTTATAAAGATACAAAGCCAAGATGTGTGCAAACAAGAAAAGAATTTGACTTTATTTTACCCTCTTTCAAGCTGAATTGTTACCAATATGAACAAAATTAAGCATCAAAACTACATGCTGCTGAAATAAATTTGAAAATTAAAATTTTATTAAAGGTAGCTTAAATATAGCAGTTGACCACTAAACAAGCCGAACTTAAATTGTACCGCTATACCTTACATATGTTCTGCTTTCACCAGAAATTAATTTCGAGATCTTCAACAGATTTTGGAAAGCAACGGAAAAGAATTGCATGACTTAGAAATTCACATTTTGGGGAAGAAAGTTGGTTGTCTTATGATTGAAGAAAATATACCCAGATACTAGTTTATTTTATCGTTTATTGCCATAAATTATGTATATATATCTTATAGAAACCTTCCTTTTTTGATTTCTAGTGTTAAAATACGCATAATATCTGCACTGACTTTTTTTATCACGTAAGACAATATTAATTTGGAACAGACAGCCAAACAACTCATTTTGCAAACAGAGAACATAAACTTAGTTGTGCATAAATAAGATTTTTCTTCATCATGATTACAGTAATAATATTTCCTTTTTTCAAACATACTTTGGAAGAATGTAGTACAGCAATACCTCGCATTTTCCAAGTAATCTATTCATTTATTATCTCGAACTGTTTAAAATCGGACTAATCGAAATACTAAATCCATATAAAATAGTTATAGGTTCAAAAACAAATTTCCCCATTTTTTAATCAAGTAAATACAATTAATAATTTCATATGTTTTAAATGGAAATAATTTTAAAAATTGCATGTTTTTCATAATTAATTTTTATTCTCTAAAAGTTGCAATAGCAATGTCTGCACATTTCTCTTTCTTGGCCTCTTTCCCACATACTTCTTTGTAGCAATGAATTGCATTGTTTATCATTCAGCGAACTGTAATGTTATGTTTAATGTTGGGAACAATTTGCATAATACATGACAAGGTTTCAACAGTCCAATAATTATTTTTAAAACTGTTCAGCTGTAAATACCTGTATGGGCACTTAAACGCAATTGTCACTAAGTTGTTTTCCCCGTCTATCTAAGCTCTTTGTCTATCTTTAATCATAAATGCTGTAGGATCTAGTTCATCAGTGTTTAGTTTCACGCATTCAGTTACGTTGATGAAGTCATTAAAGGCAAAAAGCTGTTTAGTTTCTGTTATGTTATTAGTGACTTGAGCCAAATGATTTTTGAAAGCAATGAAATCATTTGTACAGTGTTGTGGTATGACGTGGTACTGCCTTCATATTGCTTGCGATTAGTTCATGCCAAAGTGCGTGTATATTTTTGATAATGCTTTTGATGTTGTAACTTTTCCAAAATTATGTGAACTTAGGAATATTCTCTTCTCTCGTAATAATTGCCGGATCTCAAGAACGAACAGTCCAAGCACAGGTACATACGTATACAACAGGGATTCCAGGAAAAAAAAAAGAAATACGAATCTTATCGTATTACTTTAAAACCACATAAAAATAAAAAGCGGAAAAAGAGGCTTGAATGTACAAAGGGGAACGACGATCATTTTATGTACTAAAAATAATTTTTGTGCTAATTTTTCAAAATTAATTTTTATTTTGCTCAATTAATATTTAGTTTGTTTTGAAATTCTTAATTTAGACTAATCGAAAGCAGGCTATACTAAGTATTGCTGTATTTGCTTCATTTAACTTACAGACAATGTGGAAATCAACTATTATTTGTAAAATTTCTAGTCAGCATCGGACTGTTAGTATTTGGTGAAGCAGAAGGTATAATACGCGGATTTTCGTTGGCTCGGTGGATTGGTGCTTCAGTATTTATTGTTCAAGGATCATCTGTGTAATACATGTATCTTTCATAGAAAATATCACCTGTGTCTCCAGTTCCTGTGGCTGCTTCCAGATCTTTTATAGTGAAACTTCACTCTTCCTTCCTTCAAGCTTCTCTGGTATCTTTTCATTTTGACCCACGATCTACCAGCAGCATCAAAAGTGCACCAAGTCGTTACCAAAACGCTCAGTAGAACACACCAGTTGCAAATAACAATACCTGAACATTAAAAGAGTTCATACTGTTTAATGGTAATGCATCGTTTACTAAAGTGCAAGTATTAGTCTCTTATAAACAAATTTATACTCCTCTAATGAACACTGACATCGCTTCACAAGAAAGGAATATTTAGCTAATAAGTATTGGAAGTGGTGATGAAATCAGCATTCGAATTATTATTGTTATTATTATTATTCAGATTATATAGGGCAAATTAAGGCTATCTACCTAAGAAGGAAAGTCTTCGAGAAAGTTTTTTGAACTAAAACCGCTTCGCGTTTGCGTTACGCCTGGAGAAAACCACGTTACGTACAGTCAGCCAGTTCGCAAGAATTTAAACTAGAGTCCAATTAATAGTGTTCAATGGTTTTACTGCTCGTCCACTCGTACGTACATATCAATATCTGGATTTATTTTGTTGTGCTAGATAGATATCTAGGTATCTTTCTGATCAGGGCTTAACTTCTAAAAGTAGAAGTGCCGGAGCCCTATGAAAGACTGTCAGGAAAGAGTAACAAGAGTAATAAACAAATAAAATGACTATTAAAATCATTAATAATTAAAAAAATAGTTACTGAGTATCAAATTAATATATTGATTCGTATTAAATCATATTTATTATTATTATTTAGTTTATAATTATTTAATTATGCATACTTAATTTTTATATTTATAAATAATAAATATTAAAATAATTAACTATTAAAATTAAATTAAAGTAAAAGATAAATAAAAATTTAATAAGCGATTTTTTTATATAATTTTATTGCTAAAAGTAGAATTTTCTAGATCAAATTTCTACTGAAATAATTGTTCAGTTACATAAAAAAAGTGCCGGGCCTTCTGATTTAGGGCTTCGGTGCGTTCCGACTATAATTACAATATGTGCCAAAAACTAAGAAGTAAGCTCCGGCGCAATTTAAGTTCTGTTTCTGATACATATATTCTTTCAAAGTGCTGTTACTATCACAAATATATACACGAGTGCAATACTTACTTTAAATATGCATTTATTCAAAACCTTTTAGCTTTTTCTGCCTTTTAGCTTCTACGGCATTTATTCCAAGAATTGAAATACTTCATTGAATACTAATGAAACAATTCATTAATATGTACTATTTTTTCGCTTAGCCAAACAAGTAGACAATATTATTTTTTTCTAAAATAACATTTAAATTTCATTTATTAATATTATTTTTTCATTTTACTATTGTACGACTGACATTTACACTCAAGTAATTTCTATACATATAAATGACTATTGGGTGCATATAATAAAAACTGATTTTACCACTCAGGAAATTGATCGGTGGCACAAAAAGCTATTCTGTCTTGTAAAGCGATACAAAGCCAAACTCATTATGAATTTGACGTGTTCAGTTATGCCTTTCTTTCGGTTCGTAAGTGAAATTTTCCGTCTCATATGAATCTTTCTCAAACTTTGAATAACAAGCAGTGATTGAGTGAGAAATGAAATAGTTATAGGTTATTGATGTATATTGTTTTGAGCTACCGATTTCGTCGCAGTCTCTTTAAATAATCACTCCGCATGAGCAGGAAGAAACTGACAATTTATTATAAAAATTACAACACACAGACAAAAAATTGTAAATAAGTGAAGAAGAACGCAAATATTAAGCAATTACTTTTTTACGCAAGCGAAATGCCAGAAATTTCCAAAATCATTCACAGAGTAAACTCTAAAACGCAAATTAGCTATCTCTCATAGCTGACTAACAACTAATTCGTCATAGCCCTAGGAGCCGTATTTAAATAGTATAGAACAAGCACAGATATGAATGCATTTATTAAGGCTTGGAAAATATCGGTCGTCGGGCTTCAAAAGTGTGCTTTTCCGAATCTTCCAGAAGTCGCGAGATGCAGCGAACTTGACGACAAAAATTGTCACCAAGGCAATTCGGTCGCGTATTTGCCCAAATATTACGTTCTACTTGAACTATTTATACAATTTAAACGTTGTTGGATTGAGAATCGAAAAAAAATGCAATCCACATAAGAAATAAACACTTATATACGAAACATGTGACTATAATTTGAAGTACAAACGAAATAAACCTTAAAGGTATTATCATAAATGCAACATAAAAAAAAATCTATAAAAAAAATTATTTTTTAATGATATTAAGTGAATTTATATACTGGCAGAAATTTACAACTCTGTAAATGATAGAACGTATATAAGAAGTGTATTAAAATATTGTTGAAAATACAATTTTAGAATGGATATCTTTGATAACCTTATATGTTCCTTATTAATAAAATTTGCTTCTCTAACCTTAAATTATTTATATTTAAATTCAAAGCCTTTGCGTTAACATATGAAGATTTTGATGAACTATTTTTCGAAACTTTATTTAAAAAACTGAGTAATTGTTTCGAGTTTTGACAAGCACATTTTTATTAATTTTCCATTCATTTTATGGAGAATTATTCATTCAGAATTCATGTCTTGTCCTTTAATGTTACTTTCGGCTTTTGAAATCTCAGTCATGTCCTGATGAGCCCAGTTCAGAGATATCCGCTGAAATTACTGTTTGAGATGTTTGTTTATCAAGATAAATCTTGAGGTTTCCTAGCAACGCAGAGGGAATTTTCCTATTACAGATCGCAAATATTTTGGATGTCATAAAATAGTAATTGCTAGTTCTTCAGTGTAAGAGAAAAAAAGCTTTCGTAAGTTATCGAAGTTTAATGATGCATCTCAAAGATCATTTTTGTCCCTTCTACACCCTTATTTTCGTCATATATCGAAACGTTATTCTCTCCTAATATGTTTTGAGTCAAGTGGTGCATTCTAATTTATATGTCAAATTGAAATATTTCATTTTAGTACATCATCATTTTAGCTCATCACATTGAGCTACAGATCAGTTTAAGAATTATTATATTTTACAAAAAAATAAAACTGTTTATTAATATGAAGATAATTTAAACACTGTACACAAAATATGTTTCTACTTGTTTCGCTGCACTTATGTCAGACCTGCATTTAACAATTTCAGTTGTTTAGGCTGGATGATTTCCATTATGTCGCAGTCGATCTTTGTTTTTAGATTTTTGTTGCATTTTGAATCTACTAGTTTGAGGAAGAAAAAATCCTTCCTATCCCTAAACTTTGAAATCTCCTCCTCAGAGAAAATTCTGTATATTTTTCTTTGAAGATAGTCAGCGTTTACCAAGCAAGAAAAAGCCCTTTCTTACGCATCAAGTTCAGCAAAATGCATTGCTATGATGATAAAATTCCCCAATGCTTTCTTTTGAGGTAACAGAATTTTGGAGAAAAAACAAAGAGTGCAATTAATGATTTTTGTTTTTAAATGTTCTAATATTTATTAACCTAGTTTCAAAAAGGTATCTATGTAAATTTTTATTTAAATCACTCATTCATTCATTTAATTTTTTATAGTATACAACAATTTTTGGAAAATTGTGTCATTAATGAAAAAAACATCTTATCTTATTGGCTGAGGTCCAACAATGGCCCTGTGAATTATAAGATATAATTGATTAGTGTCAGTTTATAAGGTATTTCTCCCACTTCACTAGCGTGCCTTGTGGGTACGGTACACGGGGCCGGTATTCCAAAGAAATGATTCATTCCCGGCGAAGCGGTTGCTCTTTTCAACATGAGTTCCAAATATGTCTAATGACTTACAAGTGGCGCCGGATAAAAGGGTTGTGGAGGATGATTCTCCGCAACCGGATTTGGCGATAGGTCCCTAAAACCCTAGTTGCCCTTTAAAAGGGGAGTATATAAGGTATTTTCCCACTTCCCTCGTGCCTTCGTGGTGTAAACGGAGCACGCTGGGCCGGTATTCCAGAGGTCGGTGTTCGATTCCCGGCTAAGGCGGTTGCATGTTTTTCCTCATTTCTGCTTCCAATTAACCTTATGACTCTACAAGTTTACTTGGTGTTTGGTGTTTCACAAATATGTTGTTTTTCCCCCTGTGTGTAGTGTGGAGGTGAGCTCATTTTATTAGAAATTTCTCCACGAAGGTATGCTTCCTATGGGCAATGCATCTACACGATTTACTACGATCAGTTAACCAACCAACTTATCTCTCAGCATACGTTAGGTGAATTTTAGTTTTTTGTGATTTATTTCTCTGAAAATTATTAACTACAAAAAGTGGTAAATATAATATTCCTTTTGCTCATTTTTATTAACTCAATATATAATACAAACAATCTTTCTGGGAAATGTCATATTTTTCAGTATTGTCTTATCAATTTACCTTATTGTTTTATTCTCAGTATATTGTTGTTACCAAGATCGGTATATTTAATAGAAAATTGTTCTTACCTTATATGATTAAGAAGCCGCAGTTATGTATCTGCCTCAGAATATGCAGGCAAAGAGCTTTTTCAAACGTCTATGTTGTTTGAATTAAGTTAGGAATCTAAAAATTTTGGAATGTACTTTGAAGAACCTCGATTTCCAAGAAACTGTAACATCATTTCTATATTAAAACAAATCTTTATCTTTGTCTAATCTGATAAATTGTGGTAAGGCTTTTTAAATGATTTTATTTAGTTTTATTTATTTATTTTGTTTATTTGAGTCAAATTTTGAAACTTTTCCCCTTCACCACTCGTTCTTTCCGGAGTGTGTGTTATGGCAAAGCCTTGAGGGCTATCTGCCTAAGGGGAGGGATGACTTCATGGAGGACCTTCTAAGAGAAATTGGCTCGTATACACGTTACACATGGGGAAAACCACGAAAACGCCCATGCAGCCAGCCCGTTTGCTGATTTCGAACCTTGGACCGAACTACCAGTGTTCAGCGACACTACCGCTCTGCCGCTGATAGGCCGATTCTTCTGGAATATTCACGTATACGTACATAAGATGTCAATACAATATTTCATGAGGAATTTTTCAATGTTTAAAAATTGGCTTATTTATATATTTAGATTTGCATAATTCCTGCAAATATTTGTGTAATGGTCAAACTAATTAGTATTGTTTCAAACCTTACTCTGTAGTTAGATTTAAAAAAAATATTTAAAAAGAAAAATTTCCAGAATACGGATTTATTCTTTTATTGTTAGCAACCTCGCAATTCCAAAAGATAATGAGGTTATTTTTATAATTAAATAGTAATTTAAATGTTGAATGTTAAAATATGACATGGGATAAATAGAAAGACTTTGAATGTATACATATATCTATATCTGCTATATTGATAAAAGGAATAATTTTCCTGCATTCTGTTTTTTTAATTGTTTATTTCCCCCATTTAATAAGCTAAAGTGAACAAAATAAAAGGCATATTTCCTTGCGTATTCACACTCCGTAGCTTTTAGGCACCAGATTCTAAAAAGTTTAAAAATATTCGCCTAACTATTCTCCTCATCAGGACGTTCAAAGAACGAACTATCTTTTAAATGGATTCGTCAAGATAGTGATTGTTTTCATTTTACTAACAAAGACAAACCTTCGTAAACTTCTAGCGAAGGTCACGCCGAACCTTTAACTTTTTAACTTTATGATACAAGAATCGACCAATCACAGCGAAGCAAACACAATTTGACATTCAGTCTATGATTTCGCTGAGTCAGCTGTACATTTATCTTCTCTAATTATTTATGAATGATTTGAGGCCTAAGGAGTAGCACATAGAACAATAAGAATGGGCTAATTCAAGTTACAGGAAAGTAGAAATGAAGATATATTATTAGATACTGCAATGTTAATATTACGATAGATTCTTATTGCAATGTAGGTTTCTTTTAAAGGAAAGATATTGTGATAGTTATCTGATACCCATGACTACGTTTCATTTGTTAACTTCTTACTGTAACCGCGTCCTTCATAAATTAAATTATTCGCATAATTTTCTCCTCTCAATTTTCGGACGATAAAAGCAGTATAAAAAAGGAGAAAAATAGGCAGGTAAAAACGGTATATAAAACTAATTTTGTTTTTGTAAAATGCACTAAGAGGTATAAAATAATTTTTTGCTGTTGTAATGTTCGTGTTCGTACACGGCAAAAAATTTTATTTTATAATTTTAAGCTTTTTACATATTTTATTTTTTGTTACAAATCAATAATAATAATACTGAATTAAAATACATTATTCTTAATAGTTAAGGCTTGAAAATTACATATGGGAAAAAGTAGGAAACAATCAGTAACAGTGGTGGCTTAATTCAGAACTCTCTTGACAACTCCATTAGTTACTAAATCAGGAATGTCATCCCCCTCCCCAAAAAAATGCATGCAATTTTTTTCGTTTGCCATTATTAGTCTGCGAAAACAAATCGACGAAAATACCGCGAACATCGGTCAAGAGGGCAGATTTCTTCTTGCGCTCGGTTTACTTAAATGAAAGCGGATATGTTATGTTAAAAAAAAAAAAAAAAAAAATTTAACTTCAATACGATGCGTTAGTTAACTGTATTTCTTCGAAGATGTAAAATACATGTTCGAGACTAAAAAAGATGGAAAAAATTATTTAAACTTTAAAAAAAAAATTAGATATATTGCTCACAAAATAATGGACGATTCTCCAGTTTCAAGTTTACCTCTTAGTCATTTCCATTTTCCGTTTTTGAAACAATAGCTAATGCAGCTTCCTCAAGAAATAAGTTCATTGTTGCTCTGCATCTGAAAGATTTTTTACATATCTCTGGATCTTTATTCATTCCTTTTCGAAAACAATAAATAAAAATCCAAGTACGTAAAGATATCAAACAGTCTTGTTCTTATAGATGTCTGATTGAAAGCAACTCGTGCTTTGCTAAAACCTTCTTTCCCTTAGGCTCTAATGTTCGACTATGAAACACAGATATCGCTAATTTTTAAAAAGGTCCAACGGTAACCAGATATTACTAATAAGTAATTTCGATAGCAAATTCTGATTCATCATTTCGTGAACGAGAATTAGTATTATTCGTATCATTATTCACTTATATTAAATTATTAATATCAATGATTTACAGGGAATTCTGTTGCTAAAAAAACTGCACTTTTATGAACTTAATAAAATGTACCAGATGATCGTAGGTTATTTTAAGCATTGCATATAGAATGGAATTTGTATCGAGATTTCAACATTCATGTGAAAAATCGAGTTCATAAGGGGAAGTAATAAATTAATACTTTTGACGAACTTTAAAAGAAAAGAATCAATTTAAATATAAAAGGAAAAGCATACTTATAAAACAAGTTAAACATATTAAATTAAAAAAAATATGAACTCGGGCAAATTATAAAACATTTACGAGAAAACATTGTAGAGACATTAGGATTTTTTGGAAGCAAGAGAGATTAAAAAATTAACAACGCCTTCGCCGGGAATCGAACCACGGACCTCTGGAATACCGGCTTCTGGAACCACTACACCACGAGAGCACGCTAGGAAAGCGGAAGATATACCTTATAACATAAAGAAATCATTTTGAAATTCTAGGTTATAAGTTCATTTCTTTGTCATTAATCGATGAAGCGGTGAAAATAATAGGAAACGGTTGTGGATCGAGAAATGCATGTTATAAAGAAAGCAAAAATACTGTAGACTTATGTCATAATGGAAGAAAGAGTGTACTTTTCCCGCAAATAATAATGCCAGAAGCTTTAAATTTTATAATTTAAGAGCATACTTTCGGAAGATGTAAATTTAAATAGTGTTCCGGACTTTCAAGACCTGTGCCGTTTATTTGAAAATTTATCATCTCTCATGTTTCTTTTCTTATAGCCGACATGTAATCACCATTTGAATAAATGTAACCTCGACACAAAAATAATACGCAACAAGTTTGCTCTTATACAGCTGAAATCAAAGGCTACGAGAAAAGTTGGTACGAACTAACATTGCTTCCCGTAATCCTGAATCATTTCTGTTGTTCCAAATAAGTTTCAATAAATGTTGCACAAATTATACTTCTACCCACGTTAGTGAGTAAATCTACAACAAGGAATAAATGAATACACAGTTTTTCCAGTTTGTTTTAACCACAGCATTAAACTGTATAACCACGGCTTAGTGAAAGATTAATGAGTCTAGCACCAAACATTCTGCTAAATATGCTCAGGATGCTGCTCATTAAAGTATTAGAATTGTTCAAATTATAACAAAGACCTCAACAGCTATCTGCTTAAGGGGAATTCTTTCTTGGAGGTCTTTTTATGGGAAATTGACTCGCATTCACGTTACACATGAGAAAAACAAGACCTGCCCGTTTGCAATCAAAACGAGTTAGAGATATCTGTTAAAAATAATAAGAATAATGAAACACATCTATTACCTCAAGATTTACATACATTTTACAATTTCAGTTCAGATATGAATTACAATTTGAGTTTTTTTGTGAAAACTATGATAAGCGCAGAAGCAAGACTTATATCTGTCTTTGATATCATAATGGTTAGAACAATAAATTTCTTCCTTGATTTCATTTTAATTTATCAAAGATTGACCAGGAATTAAAAGAATTTTGAAAATCTTTTAAACGCTTTTTCACTTAATATTTCGCTTTTATTTGCAAATGAAATAACTAAACATCTCTAAAAGAGCAAAAATTCTACAACACTATTTTCCTATTGCTTAAAGTTCGGCAGCGGGCTTTAAGAGACAGTCTGAAATGGATTTTTCAACGGAATAAAGTACAAGATATAATGAGCCTTTACGTTTGAAATTGACTGAAAGAAAATTTCGTAGTTTTTCATAAGCTGGAATACTTTTTTTCCTTTTCTGTCTGAAAGATATGATAGTCAATATAAAAATGAAAAGTAGGTAAGTTTAATTATTACAGAGAACTGACAGTTTAATTCTAATGCTGAGAAAATAGAATAATTGTTTAGTCAGGAAAACTACATATTTATTAAATCAAACTAAACAGAAAGAAGCTAATAAATGAACAATATACCTAAAACGGCTCTTTTCGCCAATCCAACTGGACAGGTAGTATAATGTTTTCCCAACCAAACCACGCCAACAATCAGCCACGCCACTTCCACCAAAAGAATCCCTAAAAATAAAGAACAGATATAAGTGATAACAGTTGAGGTTCATTTATTATTTTGAATCAATAAATTTGACATGAAAGATATGAGGTTCATATTTTTAGGAGTCGTTACAGAACGATCTGTATTGTTAAATAGAATGGTACAGGAGTTACAATACTTGAAGGAGTATTAATCAGAATATATAGTGAATCCTCTAGATCAGGGTTTCTAGTGTAGGGACTCTATAATATTTACAAAATTTTGTGGGACCCCCATAAGCATTGAACAATTCTGACACATGCGTGAGTGAAACTGTCAGTTTCTTCACTTGTACTATAATATACTGTTACGGATTTGGTATTTAATATTTACGTTACGTACTGTTACGGATTTGATATGGTATTTAAATAGCTAATATTAGTAGAATTATAAATAAAATTGTTTTATTCCCCGTGCAGTACAGCGCGTGACGAATATTAAAAGAAAGCTAAGCCGGAAAATTAAAAATACAATAGCTCGTGCATGTAACATTTAATAAATAACTATCTCCTTTTTGATTTCGAGAAATTGCTAGAACAATCTCGCGCGTGATTTAAAAAGCTTATAAAAAGGAGGAAAACCTCTCAATTCAGTTAGTTGTTGTTTTAAGAGTTTGTTTAGAAAACTGCTCTTGTTGTCTGTAGCTAATTCGCGGATAGCTTTCTCTAGCTGTTTTGAATTAAATTCTGTTGAACGTTTGAGTAGTTAAGAGATAACTACTGTGAGATATTGTAATACTGTACGAATATCTAAGGAAATTTAAGCATTGTGTTTTTATTTGCTGTGATAATAATAAATTTTGTTCATTTTTCATCGGACTTGTGCATTCAATTCATAACGAAACCCGTACGCACGCAACAATACTATTGCAGTTTTAGGTCATTAACTTCAATTTTTAAAGTAAAATGAATGTTTCTATTATAAAAAAAAAAGCGGCGAAATTTTTTTGTCTGTATTGTCATATCTTTATCTATTTTCAGATACATTATGCAAAAATATTTGGTAACTAGAAAATTATTATAATAATTTAAAGAAATATCAAAATTGCTAAAATTTTTGGGCGACCCCTTACTGCAGGTCCCACGACTCCAACTGGAATCGCAACCCACAGTTTAAGAAACTCTACTCTAGATGATTATTTAAGTTTTCAGAAATACTGGTCACTTTCAGAGAGGGACGTCTTAGGGAAAAGAGGTTGCCACAGAAGAGTTCACTGTATATATTAGGCGTTTAGCAGTAAAATTTTATGACATTAAGCAATAATTTTTCTTTCATGGACATGATATATTTATCTATCACAAACAACCTTAATCGAAATTTTATTATAAACACTTCTGTTTTCGTTGAATATTTCTTAAACCTTGAAAATATAAATGCGTAAACTCCCTCCCTAAATCTGACTACCAGATTATTAAATGCTATGCTTTCGTTCTAAACGGTGAAGAGTCTAACTCAGCGGTTCTCAACCTTTTGACTGACGCGTACCATCTAAAAAAATTGAAAAAATTGAGTACCACCACTTCAATGATTATTTCTCAATTTCTGAATAGAAATATTAAAAAAATATATATTTTGCCATTTGCACCACCTACTGGCTATTTGTATTAAATATGCACGTATAAAAATATTAGATTAAAAATTCGCTACCCTTTTAATTATCAGAATTTAAGTTATAATACTTTAATTCTAAACTTTAGTGTGAAATTTGGGTCTGTTAAAGAAAGATCAGTTTCTTAATGTCTGGTTTTTTTTTCACTTAACTTTAAACATAAATTAGAATCCACTTTTAATTTTGTTCTAAAATCCTTGTTCACACATATAGGTTGCGCAAAAAGGCAATAAAAATTTGATAGTTTTGATTGAAATGCCTTTAATTTCTTCTTCTTCTTCTTTTTGGTTTTTTTTTTTTTTTTTTTTCCCAGCCAAATGGTACCAAGTGTGTTATTTAGTTCGATTACAGGAAATTTCTATCAATTGTTCTTTTTTTCAGGAGATGTTTTGAATTTAATTATTAAAAATGTTTGTTCCTTTGCGTACCACCTATGTTTTTCTTGCGTACCCCGGTTGACAATTGCTGGTCTAACTGATACAAAAATAATTATATTGGAGTAAACTGCTTTTCCAAGCTTTTTAGGAATAGTATATGGCATCAACCTTTTACGTCTACTTTTTTTATGCATATATATAAAAATAAAAACAAATCAGAAATAGTAAAAAAAAAGTCTAATAAAGATGTTGAGAAATATTAGTTTAGTGTACTTTTAATTAAAAGGCAATTAGCATCAAACAGTAAGTTAGTTCAGTTTTTCACTCCTTTTTATGCGGAAAGTAAGAATACCAAAAGCAGTTTTTTTTAATCGAATAATGTAACTAATTAGTGGCAATGTTTATTAGTTAAACAGTTATTTTTTCTTCTTTCTTTTGATGCTTATCATTTAATTAAAAATATTCGCTAAAATAAACGCTGCGAGAGATTACTAGTTAATCAGCTGTTTCAGATCAATTTTTTAATTAATTTTAGTTCAGTATTACGGCTCCATCTGGTGATGACAAACAGAAATAAAAGTAGAAACAGTTTTATTTTAAATAATTCCTTTGTGCTCGCCGCATCGTTCCTAAATGTTAGCTAAAAAAGGCGTAAACCCAAAGGCAATTCATAATTACTTATTCTTTTTTTTTCCTGATTGCATGTGAGTTTAAATAATTCTTTAGCCTTTCTTTCTGTTCTAATACATAAAATTTTTCTCTCGTAATGTAAGAAAGAAAACCTCAATAAAACCTGCATTTTTAGCCTAATTAAAAAGGCAAAAATTTGATCTGAGCTTGACAATAAGAAAGAAAATTTGTATATGTAATTATAAGAAAAAAAAGGTAAGTCTGTAATTTAAAAAGTATCGAATGTTACTGGAAAAGGTGAAGCACTAGCAGATTCCTCGAAAATTAAAATAAAATAAATTAGTTTTTACGTTTTCTTTTTTTCTTTCTTCTTTTTAACGAAAGAGAAAAAGTAAATAAACAAATAAAATATGTTTAAATGATATCTATGACTATGAGATTTAATTTATTCATAACTTTATTGTAACATAGACATTTATTGTATAATTAGGCAGCAGGAATGAAGCGAAAAGCTCAGACAAAATGTAAATAATGTGCAAAGATTTACACGCTTGCTAAATTTTAGATATATTATATCAAAATTATATAAGAATGAATTAACAAGATTAAAATATGAACCATATATTAATAGATTATAGAATAATTGTATAAAAACAGGTTGATCCCATTTTACAATATATTTAGAATGCTGCAGAACCTTCACATAAAAAGCTATTGGGAGTATTGGCAAGTAAAAGTAATGCAGGATGATTATTAGCATTAATGCTTTGTAAATAATAATAATAATAGAAAGACAGTTAGCATTAATAAATGAGAACGGCCCACTGACATTACTTTTTACAATATTACTTTATTTTTGTAGTTAGCATTTCCGATAACACAATAGATAAATTATTTCTTGAAAATCTATGCATACGTAATCTGAATTTAATGTTATCTAAATTATCTTAATTTTAAAAACTTAGGAGATTTATGTAACTATATCATGTTTTTTACTTAATTTAATCTAAATGTTACTGTGATCAAGGATACTTTCTGATTTAATTACCTGTATTTAAGACACAATAACACGCCGAACAAATACTAATTCAGAAGTCAAACAACAAAAATTACCTGTATTATGAAAGGTATTTATAAGGTAATGTTTATATAAAACAAATTGTTTATATTTTAAACTGCTTTCCCTCAAGCAGTTACACTCGTACTATTAACAATTTAAATGCAATGATAGAAATTATTAATGATAATTGAAATTATATGTTTAAATTTATGTAACTATAACTTGATAATTGATACATACACGAAATTTTAAGAAAATGATATGTATATATATATATATATCACCTTATGTCCGTCGGTTTATTTTGGCATTTCAGTCGCACAGTTAGCCAAAGCGGTTAAGTCTATTCATTGATATTTTCTGATTTTTGCAAATTTCAATGTACTAAATAATAGTCTCCTTGGTTATTAAAGGATTTACTTGTTGCTTCGTTTTTCTAAATAAGACAGTCCTTTTTCTTATAAATTCTGAATATGTTGCATAATAATTTCAGAAGCCGTTGTGAATGAATCCACTTTTTATCAATACTTCTTTTTACATAAACAAAAGTAAAGACTAAATTATTATTATTCTCCGATACTTGCTGGCAACACGCAAACGCAACATAACTGTTACTTCTGCTATTTAGAACTGCTATTTAGAAAATATTGAATTGAAGTGTTTGCAAAATTTATGTGATATTTAAAATAAATAAATAAATAAATGATTCTTTTCTAAAAATTCTGACTTCTTAAAATTATAAAAATAGATTTATTGTAAGGGTATAAGAAATAAAAATGTCATAGAAAACAGAGCAGTGAAAGTGATAAGTCATTTTATCCAAAATCAAGAAGATTTAATGGTTGTGATATATGGTCAGGTAACGAAAATATAGATAATTATGCAAATGACCGAGAAGTTGAAAGGAAAGGTAGCAGGAATCTTGGTAAATTGTATAAAAATACTGAAACACTAGAAAGAATACAAGGTAAAATATTTAAAAATAGAAATAAGAGATTAATTTCTGCAAAGAAATTTGATGATAAATTTGTGATTGTTTACGACATTGTAAATGCAATATAACCTTTTCTCAAAGAAAGAAGGTGATGAAAAATTTGTACAAGCTTAATGACCATCATAAACAAAGTATTGTTTTAAGAGGGTTGATTATGAGTATGCGCTATCAAAAAACGACTACTGAAAAATAACATCAAGGGAATAAGATCTCAAACTGTTGAATATTTTATTAGATTATTTATTTATTATATTGATTTCCCTGTAATAAAACATATAATTTTACAAGGTATTTTCTCTCTCCTTTTTTCTTGG